AAAAATCTAATATATATTATATATATTATATATATATATATTATATTATATATATTATAAAAATCTAATATATATTATATATATATATATATATATATATATATATATATATATATATATATATATATACATGTATATATGTATATATATATATATATACATACATATATATATATATATATATATATATATATATATATATATATATATATAATATATATATATATATATATATATATATATATATATATTATATATATATATATATATACATATATATATTATATATATATGTATATATATGTATATATGTATATATATATATGTATATATATATATATATATATATATATATATATATATATATATATATATATATATATATATATATATATATATATATATATATAAATATATTATACATATAACATAAATAATTCTAAACTAACCAAATAAAATTCAACTTGTTTGTACCCCTCTTACCACCCACTTACGGAAATCAGAAAAACAGAAATGAGGTACCAATTGAGGTATCTGCTCAATAATATTTTTTAATGAAATTTGGTAGGTAGATAAAAAATATATGTAAAAAACTATCTGGGTAGGTTTGCAAACTATCTGAGCATTTCTTTGACAATAATTTAATGTGAGAACAACAACCAAGTTTTTAATACAAATAAAAGCAATACAAAAATTACCAACCACACATAAATATTATATATTAATCAAGTTTAACTATTCTTTTTTTCAAAAATAATCTAAGTTTAGTAATGTTTCTAAACAGAAACGCCACAAAAAAACGTTCGCCTGACGTTACCTAAAAAAAAGATCAAAAAACCTGGCACAAAATTTTAGTACAAAATTCGGTTCCGTAAAACACGGATTTCCGCGTACCTATTTATATATATATATATATATATATATATATATATATATATATATATATATATATATATATATATATATATATATATATATATATATATATATATATATATATATATATATATATATATATATATATATATATATATATATATATATATATATATATATATATATATATATAAATTAGCAAGAACCTGTCTATTGGTCTCTCTTCATTCATTATTTCGAGAAACTTTTACACTTGAAAGTTTCTTCTACATTTTACATTAAAAATGCGTTTTTAAATAATGTCTTGATGATGGTTATACCTAAAAGCCGGCCCAACCCGGCCCAAAAAACTAAAAGCCGGCCCGGCCCGACTTAAAAGCCGATTTTGTTTATTTTACACAAATGGTTTGTTTTTGCAAAAAGCGTACGTTTATTTAACATTTTATTGTTATACTAAAGATTTACGGATTTTTAAATATTTATAAGGAAGTAGTTAGTAAAAATATTCTCTATAGTGGCTATATTTTAAAAGCGACGAGATAGTTACTGAAACAACTATGTAGGTGTGCGGGTTTTAGATAAAACACACAAAATAATTTTAATTGCATCATCCAGGAAGTACTGAAACCTATAAGAGAAAGAAATTTGTTCAGTTTACAAATAAGACAAAATGGAGCATACCTTGCACGCTAAGCCATACTTTGTGCGCAAGCAAATGCTAAGTATTGACGAGGTACTCGAATGTTTGGCCAATATCAATAAAAACCATACTTTGTGCGCAAGCAAATGCTAAGTATTGACGAGGTACTCGAATGTTTGGCCAATATCAATAAAAACCATACTTTGTGCGCAAGCAAATGCTAAGTATTGACGAGGTACTCGAATGTTTGGCCAATATCAATTGAAAATATCAATGGAAAAACGCATACGCAAATGTTGACCTACGATACAACATTTAATTTTGGAGAGTTTTACATATCTGTTCTTCTAATGAGAGGAGTTTGTTTTACCGAAAATCCAGTAATACCAGCAATGTTCATGATTCACGAAAGAAAGTTAAAAAGTACTCACCAAACGTTTGTTGATATTTTAAAAGAAAAACTACCCGCGTTAACAATAACCAATTGTGCACTTGTGACTGATGGTGAAACAGCATTCGATGTTTTTGAAGAAGTTTTTCCAAAAATTAACAAGTTAATTTGCTGGAACCGTTTATTTAAATCAACAATGCAATGGCTAAAAAAGCATAATGCTACTTCCACTGACATTGCCGTGTACCTTGATCATGTCAAAAGTCTTCTCCATTGTCCGACGGATGCAACCTACTTTAAGATGTATAATTCTAAGGCAAAGCTTTGGAGTCAACCATTTCGAATGTACTACAACAATACAATCCATAAAAATGCGGGTACTAAAATCGGCCGTGTTGTATTGGAACGGCTAAATGTATACGACAAAAACTCGGGTATAACACAAAACATGTCGGAAGGTTTTAATACGGTCATGCGTCGTATGCATGAATGGCAGGAGGTTTCAATTGATATGAGTGTACTTATTCTTTACCACCTTCAGTGCTATCATGTCAACTCCATCAATCTTGGGTTTGGTGATCAAGGAGATTATCATCTACTAAAAGACGAGTTTCCTCATCTTGCCCTAGCGAAAGAAAACGTAGTTGTAGAAAAAGTTCTGCCACCGGAGGAACTTGTTTCTGAAATGAAACGACAGAACAAGGATTTTATAAACAATGTAGTAAAAGAAGAAAAAAACGTTTGTACCATGTCCAAAAATGTTCGATATCAGGCTGTTCTTGAGAATGCTGGGTCAATTCAATTCAATCCATCTATGAAATGTTTTTTGGTAAAAGGAACCAGTAACGAGGTATATTTGGTTCGATTAAACGGATTAAAAAAAACATGTACATGTCGACCAGTAAAAACATGTTACCATATTAAAGCTGTGCAACGTCTCGTTGGTGCACCGGTTGCAATTGACAAAAAATCAATAAACCTAACACAACTACCTCGAAAACAAACGTAACGTCAAACAACGTCTAGGAAGAAAGCAACCGCGAATCGGAGATTGTGATGTCAATGCTGCTCCTGACGCCGAATGTGATGAAGAGATTGTCTCAATGAATAACGAAGAATGTAATGCAACCGCATCACATATGGAAAAAATTAATTCTAAAGAATACTTGGACGTTGAATTACGAGTTGATATGCTGTTACCCCATGAAAAATTTGTTATCGGTAGTTGCACACTTAACAGTGACGATTTAGCAACACTAAATTCAGATGAGTGGATAAATAATGCTGTAATTCACGCCTACCTCAATCTACTTATGGACTTAAACAAGGCTACAAAGGGCAATCTAGTTTATATCATGCTTTCTTTTTTGGCTCAGCGATGGCATGAAAAAAAGTTATTTTTAATGCACCTCAGCAACTTGATGGGAATAGTTGTGGAATTTTTACAATAATGTTTGCAGAAGCTGTTACCAACAATGTGGACATCAGTATTGTAGATCCAACGGCTGTAACATTTTACCGTCGATACATTCGTGCTAGACTAGTACAACGCATGTGCGCTAACGTCAATAACGAAGATATATGTGACACACCGTTTTGTGTTAAACCCCGTGGGGCTCGTTTAAATTGGTCACAGTGTGATCAGTGCAATCGTTGGTGTCATAATGCCTGCGCACCATGCCAATCTTCTCTCACCACTTTTTTATGTAGCCGATGCATTTGAAAAAATAAATCACTGGTTTATAAAATCTCAATAATTTTTTGTCAACTTTGTAAAAAAAAATGTTATTTTTAATAAAAAAAATAAAACATTATTCCTCAATACTTTTGAACTTGTGAACTATCCCGAAAAAAAATGGCCTTGGCCGGCTTTTAGGTTTTTGGGCCGGGCCGGGTTTTAGGTACAACCTTGATGATTGCGTGATTCAACTAAATTAATTTTGATTTAATAAAGCATTGTGGATCTTTTTTAGACGAAAAATTTATTGGACGCGAAAAAGACGTTCAAAAGACGTTTAGAATTTAAATGGGACGGACGGACGCTAATTGAACGTCCAAAAGACATCTTTTTTACGTCTCGTGCCCACTGGGCTAGTTGTTTTGAATACCTTCGAGCAATCACTACAATTTAAAGTCTCTTTACATTCTTCTAAAGCTGCTATTTCGATTTCTTGATAAAATGAATCGCTTTCAAACTGATCTGTTTCTATCAAACTCAAAAGAACTTGCAACTCTCTACTTTCCATGATTCACTTTAATGTTTGTTTTGCACTTTCAGCGGGCCCAAAGTACAATTTTGACATAATAGTTCGAAATCAATTGTTACGGCCCGTGTTTCCAGACTATCTATTCTTGTGATTATGGTTGAACGTGACATTTTGATAAGATTGTGAAAACGCATGGCTCGCTGATTTTGGCGGTTTCTTTGATGTAAAACAAAAGGTTTTATCTTTTATACGTCCATGCTTTAAACAATAAAATAGCGCGTGATTTTCAACACGCATCTACGTGTTTTTAACATGTACAATTCACCAACATTAAAATAGAACACAAAACTATATAAGGTTAAATATTTGGTTTAAATTTTTCGTTTGTCAATTTTTTTGATAGATTATATGCAAACAACAGAGAGATTATATGCGACAAACTTAATTAAAATTCTCCTGGCTCAACCCATAATGAGAAAAACCCACATATAGTTTCTATTTTTTACCAATCACAAACATGTACACATATACGGTTAAGTATTTAGTTTAAATATTTTGCTCGTCAATTTTTTTGAAAGGTTATATGCAAACAACTGAGACCAAAATAAAATTCTTTCGAACGACAAAGAAATTTTCCTCAAACTTTACAATCATCTAATTACAATAATATGTTAATAAATAATAATAACAATAATAGTAATAATAATAATAATAGTAATAATAATAATAATAATAATAATAATAATAATAATAATAATAATAATAATAACAATAAAAATAACTTTATTCATTAATAGAACAAATAAAAATAATAGAACAGTAAAAGCAAAAATAATACTATTTACTTTCCGGCTTAAAACATTGTGTGAAGAACTCATCTTTAATCCATCAATGCGTTTGCTAATTATTATTGTGAACCAATCACAAATATGTTGAATATATAAGTTCAATTGTTATAAATTCAAAGTTTTGTTCATCGACATTCAATCAAATCAACCGGCTATACATTGAAGGTTGCTTTAGTCGTAAGGTATTCATAATTTTTAAAGCGAGTTTTTTAAAGTTAATGGTATAAAATTTTATATTACTACATATAATTTCAATAGTATTAAAGACGTAAAAAGTGAAAAAAATTAATGAAAAATGAAAAATATGTTTGTATTTGTATTATAGATAATGGTGAAGTATTTTCTAATACTTTTGATATCATTTTGTTATTATTATTTTCATTATATTGATTTCATCACCGTGGTTCAATAATGGACATTTATTATGCGAATGCGTCATATTTTGAACGGTAAAAAAATCAAAGAAAAAGAATAAGTTCAGGGCTCGAATTAACGTAAAAAAATCTAATCGCGATTTTTTTGTTGCTCATAACTCGTTCCCCCTCCTCCCCCGTGGGAGGGGGGCATTATTTATTTTAACTTATTTATATTAACATACATAATAAGTCTCATTTTTGCATAAGATGTCATAACATTTACGGTTAGCGGTTGTTAAATAGCTTTAGTTATAATTTACATTATTACTATTATCATATCGCATTAAATCTAACGGCTGTATTTTTGTAAAACCAATGAACTTGATATTGCTAACCTTCTTTTAATTAATTATTTCATCTTCTATTTTATTTACATATTTTAAACTGTTTAAAACAACTAGAATATTTAATTTTCTATAAATTTTTAACAGTAAAAAAAAATTATTTAAAACTCTAATTTTGAAACAGTTATAAAAAACTATTAAAAATGACGAAAACATTATTGTGATAAAATGTTAAAACTTAACATTTTGACGAAAACCTGCACAACAAACAAGAATGATAATTAAATTCTTATTAAGTCAGTTTTCTTATCTAAGTAACCTTATCAAATTCCGATGATATTTTTATCTATTGCTTTTTCATTCAATGCATTTTTTAATAAAAGTTAGCGTTCACTTTTTTCATTCAATAAAATTAAGCGAAAGAAAAGATGTGTCTAAATAATAGAATCTTTTACGATCTAATACTTTTTTTGATTGTTAATAGAAAAATTAGAACGTAATCGTAAATATTTTTATCGTTTTGTAATAATTTCACTAGTTTAATGCTTAGAATTTTTCAGGATTTTTACTAACGTAAAAGTATTTTTAGGAAGCTAAAAATCATACGCTATTTAAAGTTGTTATTTAATATTTTAATTTTAAGGGGTTACAATGCGCTAAAATAAAATTAAAAGTTGTCACAATATTCTTCCTCGCTCTCACTTTCTTTCAAATCTGATATTGTAACTGTCGCTAGATCAATGTCTGTTTTTCCTGACTTTTTTTTTCTTTTTTCCGGATAACGATGAAAATTGGCTGACAATCGTCTAACTCTATCGTTATACAATTCGTCCATAGCAGTATCAGGTTCAAATTTGTCAATCTCAGGACTTTCTTCGCTTATCCGAAGTAGAAATTCTAAACGATCTCGTCTAAGGCAACTTCTCCAGTCATTTTTTACGCGATTCATACATGAAATCATTGGTTCTACCTTCGCATTTGTAAAAGGACAAATTAAAAATAGTTCAAAAATATCAAGAATATTTTGGCATTCTTTGACCAAACTTGATTTGGAAAAAACATTTTCCCAAATTTTCAAATAATAATCATTTTGATTGTTACTTATGATGGGAAACATGTATGCTTTTAAAATGATCAACTCATAAAGTATATTATTCAAATCACATCCTACACCAATTAAAAATTCAGAAAAATGTTCAACAACTTCACCTTCATTTTGGATTTATCGCCAAAAGTACCGTCATTCACATTTAACGGCGAGTTATAAACGTCAAGTAAAGCTACCAAATGCATAAACAATGGTGATTTTTGGAGATATTGAAAACGGCCTTCCATACATATGGTAATATTTGCAATAATTAGTTTGTACTGTTCAAGAACATGGCTATTAACTTCGGTATATTGAGAAAGTGGAATATTTTGATAACATTGCTTTGAATCAATTGTCTCAATATCTTTAGACAGTCTTTTATAATGGGTCATAACACTTGTATCATCAAGAAAATTGTCTAACGAATTTTCTAGTAGAATTTACAGCTTGGCCATTGTCCATGTAAATTCTTGGACTCTTCTTACAGCTTTTACTGGATCATGAATATTGTTCTGAAAACTTAAGCTCAAACGCCGAAGGGGAGATAAAACATCAAGATATGTTGATAAATTAATAGGCACAGACGCATTTTTCCATCGCTTTAAAAAACCTTTTAACTCTGCTCTCTTTGCTATCTGGGAGTCTGTTATAGCCAATGATTCAATATGTGTCATAATTTTAAAAACGAATTTTCATTGCTTTATACTTGTGATCAATCCCCCGAGTTCCGCATGCATTTGTTGGTTTCGGAACGCTATTACCCCAAGCATCAGCTAATCCTTGTAGTTCTCGGCAGCGCTTTGGTGACTTTTGATACAAGTAATAAAGTTGTAAAAGGAGTTCGTCAACAGTTTTGTCAACAGGCAGATAAACTTTCAAACGCATCTTTTAAAGCAAGTTCAAGTCGATGGTTAAAACAGTGTACAACTTCGAGCCAAAGAGAACCTTTCTTTAGTAATGCGCCTAAACCAGCATAAGCTCCTAGATTAACGTTAGCTCCATCAAGATTTACACCCAATAGATGTTTATAAGAATTGGTAATGTCAACTCTTGTCAAAGCGTCTGCTATACATTTTTTCAGGCCAACAGCATTAGAATTCACTGTCGTTTCACTAGATAAGAATTCTACTTTCGGACTTCCGTCTTTTAAATAAAGAATATAAATCAATTCCTGTTCCGATACAGCTGAATCTGTGCTTCCATCACAGAGAACACAGTAAAATCTACAATTTTTTAAACATTCAGTTAATTTGTTTTTAATTACGGTGCCAATGTAATCTGTAAATATTGCAGCTGCACGGTCAGTGCCATAAGAATTTCCTAACTTTGTAACCCCATTAGTCTTCTCTAATGCAATTAAATAAGGATAATCTGTGAATGGACGCTCTCGTTTTGCCAAGTAATATGCAATATTAAACTTTTTCCGTAACGAGTCGGCGTCTTTTACGGCCATTTTACGTAAACCACGCCCGATAGGAGTATTATGAATAACATGGTTAAATAATGAAACTGAACCTAATGTTGTTTGTTGATGAATTCGCGTGGCCTCTTTATGTTGCGCACTACTTAAGTGCGCTGCCAGTGAGTCTTTTTTTATTGATATTGTTTCTGGTTTGATCCAGGTCATAGAAAACATTTTTGTTTGACTTATCCGTTTTTCAAATTTTTCATATAAACTGCATCCTAATCTTATAACTTCATCTCCATTTAAATCGTATTCTAACTTGCAATTCAAAAGTTTTTCCTACTTTTTAACTGTAGATAATCTGCGTCTGTGGTCCTTATTTATATCGATTTATTGCTAATAATTTAAAGTTAGCAAGTATACTAACAAACTTTAGAGAGTTTTTTTTTAATAACTAGTTTAGAGTCTGTATTGCCTTCCACAATTCTTCGCAAATTAAACTTATAAAAATATCATTAAATTTGTTCATAATGAATGAGCAAAATCAGAATAAAGTCCTTGAGAATCCGAGTTAAGAAAATGACTTTTCAATCAATTAAATTTTATTTCTTTTTTTAATCAAAATCTTTTATTACTTGATTCGAAAAGGTATTTTTTTACATTTTTACTAATACATTTTTGCTAATTGATTTTCTAAATATTTTATTTTTCTTTACTTTACTCTATGCTCAGCTTTTAAAAAAAATTATTGTACAGAAGTCACTGCAGTTTTATACTGTAAAAGAACGCTAAATATTCGCGATTAATACTAATTATCTAAAATTAGATTTTTCTAAAATGGTAAAAGAATAATCGCGAAAAAAAGAAAGGTCAAGAAAAAACAAATTAAAAAAAAAAACTAATCGCGAAGGTGCGAAAAGTAATCGTGAATTGCGATAGCGATACGCTTAATTTGAGCCCTGAAGTTAATTAACCTATCCTTTTTCTTTGATTTTTTTACCGTTCAAAATGTTCAAATTTTATATTGAAAAAACATCTGTTTATCTTAAGATAATCAGATGTTTTTTCAATATAAAATATCTTAAAAACCTTAGAATGCAAAGTTTTTGTAAAATAGTTTTAAAAATCTGATTTAAATCAAACCCCTAAAAAAAAAACAAAGAGGAAACTAAAAGAACTTCGAATTATTAAAAATAAAAGAACACTTTAAATAAACTTAAACAAAGAAATAAAAAAAATAATAAATAAAATAGAAAGAAAGAAAGAGAAAGTAAACAAACAAGAAAAAAGAAAAAAAAAAAATAGAAGAAGAAATAAACAAACAAAAAAGAAGAACAAAAAAATTTTAAAGAGGATAAGAAGATTGTTTTATTTTTTTTTTTTTTTTTCACGTTTAAATTTGTAATTATTTTTTTTTTACTTACAAATTTTATTTTTGCTTTTTCACTTTATATTTTTAACTACTTATTTATCGTTAATTATATTCACTTAGTTTTACTTAGTAAGGTTTGTCCGTTTTATATTTAGTTGCAATATCTCTTATTTAATTATTTATCATTAGATTACCTACTTAAGAATTTTTATTATATATTTTATTATATTTAACTTATTTTATTGTATATAGTTTTATTATATTTTTTAATCATTATTATAACTTTATCGTTATTATATATTCTTATACATTTATTTTTATAACTATATGTTATTTTTAGTTTATTATTTTATCTTTGTTATTAATTAATAGTATAAACCTATAATTTTTATTTATAACTTCGATAATATATATTATATAATTTACTAATTATTTTACGTATCATTACTGATTACACTCCATTTGGCATGCTCTCCGATCTAGAACTTAAATTAAATCTTTCCTGCAAGAATCCTCCTTATAAAATAAAATTTCATGAACCCCTGATTACCTTAAAAACTTATTTAAAAGCATGAACAATGTTTTTAATCCAACAACCAAATACAAATACCTTGA